GATCATTTCGGCACACTGACCGAACACTAGTTCCGCCTTCGCTGCAAGCCGTCTTGCAACTGCCTGAATCCATGAGTCTGAAAAGCTCAGAACCAGATGCAAGCATACAGATCTTCCCTGACGTGAAAATGCATCCCGGATGGCCGCCGTGCTCCGTAAATTCCAGCATTACCGGTTACTGTACATGTTTAGGACATCGAGGTGATGCTTCTCCTCTGCTTGCACCGGTTTTTGCCAAAGAAACATGCTTCTCATGATAGGTCGAGGGAGGCAGAAGCGCTCCGAGCAGGACTCAGATATGCCCTGGGCCCGTGGACTTGGCGCTTTAAAGGAACACCAGGAACACAGTGGCCCATTGTTCATACCAGGAGCCTGTCGAGCTTTACAAAGAAACTCCGGGAACACAGACTCAGACAGGCAGAGTGATCCTCATGCTATCTTCGCAGGCTTCAGCGCCAGACGCTTCACCGCGATGAACAAAGCCAAGGATGTGATCAGCACCGGGGATACAATGGTAACCAAGGTCATGAAGGTCGGCTTCTCAGTTTGTGGGTTGTTGACTCCTAAGAGATCAGCTGCCCATTCCCCAGCAAGGAAGTACAAGCACCTCCCAGGGCACAGGGTGGCCTGATAAATGCCAGGCAAATGCTTCTGCAGCTGGGGTGGCGCCCAATCATCCAAGAGCCAACTGCTATGGGCACTTGCCAGAACGCCATTCACCACGATGTTCCCGGACAGGGTGTAAGGGTTGTACAGACCAAGTCGTGGGACGACTTGCACGGATCTTACAGAGGACAAGCGAGCTTCAGATCCCACAATCAGCCAGACTTTTTGCCCAACTTGTACCTCGTTTTTCAATCAAATTTACGAGTCCCCGTTTCGGGATCTGTCCTATGGGGTTGGGCTATCTTGAGAAACTGCATGACAAGCGCCTATTTTGTGAGAAATGCCCACCTCTTCCGCATAGATCATCAACCGATCTTCCCATGCGCAGCGGGTGTCTTCTGCCTGGCACACCTGGATGAAATGCTTGGAGGTCAACTCCAAGGTCACGTTGCCCAGGTCCAGGCTCACGAAGGTCGCCAATGTACTGCGCTCTGCATGTCCAAAGAAGTAGATCTCATCGAAGATCAAGGAGCCAGTGGAATCCATGGCCAAGACTTTGTCCCCGACCCGAAGTTCGTGCATTCTCTTCTGACCGGTTGGAGTCTGCACGGAGGCTTCCGATGGGAAGCACCCGCTGTCGTCAGCAGGACACTTCTTCTTGAGATTCAGTTCCTTGTATGTCTTCACCCTGCGCCTGCCACCCTTCGCAGGCCACATCTCGCACGTACAATGTCCGGCAGAGAGCTCTACCCCCATGCCACCCCCAGCCTCCAGCACTGTGCCAATTTGCTTGCCGCCAACGAGCTCTGTTTCAATAAGCGAACCACCCCCGCAGCCAAAAAAACATAAGCCTGCACTCTTGAACCAAGCCTTGCCAAGGATGTCGCTGAACTTATTAAACCAACCGGCACTGACCGTGGCATCGATGCCCGCACCCATCTCCAGGCCACCACAGACTTCATCTGAGAGACGAATTATAAGGATGACCAGGGGACAGCACCACTCAACTTTTTAGACCAGGGACATTCATTCAAAGCCTTTTAAGGGTTGAGGCTTTCGGCTTGAGGGCCCCTTGCTGAACGCTGACAGACCTACACCACCACGCCCTTCCCCCCTCAACAAAAACAAAAAGACCAAGAAGACCAACAAGACCAAGTCACGCATGTGCCCCACCTGGAAATAGCAGGTATTGCCCTTCCAGCGCTCGAAACCTTCGGCAACAATATGCGCGTAGCCGACGGCGACGCCTGCCGACGCCTCGAGGCCGACCTCATAACTGCGAGCTGCTTGATCACCTCAGCAATGCTATAAACCGGTTCTTGCAAAGATAGAGTACGCTAAACAAACTATAGGAGGAAGAAAAACGGTACCAGAAAGCACAACGCAGTCACAGCAAGTGGTCTGCCGGTGGGTCAGGCGCCTTCTCCTGACAGACACATGACCTTGCATGTCCAAGCCCAAGCCTCATGGCCTCAGGATTTGGGTTTAGGAGCTTATAGGGTTTCATGGCTAACGGTCTTTGTTATGAGACATGTTATTGAATTTGTTTGGCTCAGAGTGGAGGGGTTTGAGGTTTTCGATCTACCTTCGCAACTGTCATGTCAGGCTGAGCTATAGGGGGGCTATAGCGGTCACCCCGCCTGGATCGCCGTCTCCGGCCACTGTCACCCTTCGAAGACACGGACTTGTCCAAGTGAATCTGCAAAGCGCTGAAGGACTTCTTTTGCTTCCGCGCGGTGGTGTTTGCGCCCGGATTAAGGCGCGCGGCCCGGTGGAAAAGTGCTGTTTGCAAGGTGCGCCGGGTTTTCTGGAAGGGGATTGGCTTCTCATGGTTGGGTAGCTCCTTGTCAACGAGAGGACAAAGCTCCGAGAAGAGCTCTGCCAAATGTTTGTAGCTCTTCTTCAGATGCATCGATGAAACACGATTCATCTTCATCTGGCAGTCCCTTGCGCCGTCGCCATAATTCAAGTCGACTCCCTCTTCCTCACTCTCCAACTTCTTGTCCTGCAAACACGCTTGCATGAAAGCCTCGTCGAAGTGCTTTTGGTGGATCACTGCCGGCCATGAGTGGGCGGTGCCAAGAAACTCAAAGTGCTTGGAGCTCACGGCTTCCAAGAACCTCATGCATTCCGGCTCCTCTTCTATGGGCAGCACCATGTCGATGAACACGGCACAGAACCTTTCAGGCACAAATCTTGGCTTCAGGGGGGCTCTTCCAAGCCCCTTGGCAATGGCTTCAAGCCCTACCGCCCTACGGCCTGCTTGACACATCCACAGGTTCGGACCACTTTGGAAAAAATACAAAAAATCCTTTATTTCCTCCGAGCAACTCCTTGGGTGTGTTGAGTGAATCTGGGCCGAGCATGCGGAACTGCACCTCCATGTTGTAGATGGCGCGATCGCACTCTGCCTCGAGCTGTTTCGGGTTCACTTTGTCCATGGCTGACTCATCCCCAACGAAGAGAGCTTGTTTGCATCGCTGTCCAAAGGCCTGGGGATCCACGTGCATTCACAAATCGGAGTGCCCGTGCGCTGAAGACTGGAAAAATGCACTATTCATTTGCACGTTGCACGCCCACGCCTCGATCTGAGCCATTATTGGCATGCTGGTGTTGGCATTCTTCTTCACGAAGTTGAGGCATCCCTTGTAGAACATGCCGTTATACCCTAAGGAATTCTCCAGTTCATTCGCCAACACGTTCACAAATTTTTCTGAGCCGGCCCGGCAATCAGAGTTGGCAACCGTCCGGTTCGAAGAACCTCGTGATGCCTCGTCATGTAGCTTCATTGCACAACTTAGATCCAAGTGGAGGATGGCGACCACGGCGAGGGCAAATGCGCGCGCCATGGCTCCAGTAGCTTCACAAATCGGCGGAGGACAAACGCAGCTGCAACTTCACAGCCTGATGGCTCCACGCGAGTTCTTTAGTTGCATAAGTTATATATCTGGTCTCTAAGGCCGGGCACACAAGTTCATCATGGCCACAGAATCAGCTCCTTACGAAATAAGGCAAAGTTCATGGATGGGAAGTGGCGCCTGGCGACTAAACGCAACAAGATGTAAGCAGAAGTGCTTAAGCCAGATCCATCCTACTCTGAAAACTCCAACATGAGCGCTGGGAAAGTTCCAACGCGCGCATTTCAGAACCCATGATTCTCAAGAAACTCGCCGAAAGCCGAACCGACCTGCCACATAAGCCGAGAGGCTCATCTCGCGGCCAGCAGGCGCGACAGCGGCCAGAATTCGCAACGAATTGAATCGAAACGCTTGGTTCCCTCGAAACGAAACGCGATGGTTCCTTAGCCCGAAAGAAACGCAACGATTCGATTCCTTATTCTCTTGCTGGAAACGCATACACTGCAAACGAAACCCATCCTTCCTGCAAACTGCGCAAACTTTCGCAACGACCCTGGCGTAGCAAGACCGCACCATGACTGGGACGCGCATCTAGGTCACGGCCGACAGCCAAGCACCAAGACATGAGATGACATGAGCATCCACAAGCTACCTTTCACTTTGCGACACCATTTAGATTCAGCGTGCGCTATACTCAAACCGTCAGTCTTACTATTGGGAGGCCTTGCAGTCTGAGACAGGGAAGGAAAGCTGCATTGATGATGGCTTCTGCACACCTCGTCGTTTTACAGTTGCTAACTTGGGAGTGGTGAGCTCTCGCGGCACGACTGCCACACCCAGTAGCTGAGAGTAGTAGGCAGCATCTTGCAAGCGATCATTTCGGCACACTGACCGAACATTTGCAAACACATAGCGCCTGCGCGGCGCACCCGACGATCTTCCCAACTTTGTGGGACGCAAGATATGTTCATGGCCATCCGGACAGCTCTGTCCAGGGTTTCATTGGCTTCCTTGTAGAAGCGTGCAAGAGACTTCACGACCCAAAAGGCACGGGCCTCAAAGAGCTCTGGTGGCTCTTCAAACTTGAAAATGCTGGTGGCTGTCAGCTAAACAAAAGCTGCAAACCATGCTACCGTTTGGCCTCGTCAGCCACTGAGTCCCGCGAGCAGAAACAGCACCACCGCCGCTGTAAACGCCAAGAGCATGCTGGCAAAGAGGCCTCGTTAAACCCGCAGACCGTCTTATAGAAGTCACTGTGGCGCTAGGAGAAAGCCCCTTCCCGAATCCGAAGCTGGCAAGAAACAGCCGGTCTTCCTTCCTGCGCCTTGCATCTCGCCCCAGATGAGCACCGCCCAAGTGGCACAGACCTGGCAACTCGCAACGTGACACGGGACTTGGGGCCCGACTGCCAAAGGGGCCACTGCCCTTGAGCACTCTGACTCTGCCGTTCTTCTCCGAGGCGCCAGTGGCTGGCAGCGAGTGATGGACAAGGCCACGGTATTGCCCAGGGCACGGCCTGAACAAAGTCAACAGCTCTCCAGGCCCTCGAAGATCAATGAAGGCGGGCCTTTCTTCGCATGATATTTCCGCGTGGCGGCGTCTGTACTAGCGACGAGCAGAACAGGTGCACACCAAGTAAGACAGCAAGACAAAGACTCATGAACGGCCTACCCTACAGGCCCTACAGTAGACGCCCACAATCCAACCATCCTACGCACTATGGCCTGCTTGCAGGGAGAGCATGGATCCACATCCATGCGCGAAGCCACCGGCCAAGCCCAGAAAGTGGTTCCAAGCGCGCAGCTCCAGGTAACTTGACCAAAAGCTCAAGCTGACACCTTGCACTGCAGCGAGATTCGCAGAATGCTGCAGAATGCAAGACAGTCGTTTCTGCGCACAGCTCTCTCGTCGCTCTCGGCCTGAGTGCAGCGGCCACCGGCACAAGGGCGGCAAAAGCAGCAGGGCGGCCAGCAGCGCACCTACGGCCTCAAGCTCACACCGCCCACACCCAACCTTCGCAGAGTTTGCGAACCCTTAATAACTTAAGGCTGCTGCTGTGCTGCCAATGCTGTGGAAGGCGCTTGGGCTCACGTGCCATGCAAGCAAGCGGCATAAACAAAGAAGAAGGCCGATGCATTGAGCTGGGTAGCAAAAGCATTGCCCCACTGCGTCTGCCCCTCGACGCAGGAGCTTATGCAGGGCCAGAGTGCGAAGCAGAAGCCTCCGATAGCCGCAAACGTGAGGCCCAGATTCCCGCGCTTCACTGCGCGGGCATTGGCCCAGCCGCCCGACACCGTCAGCACCTGCTAACGGTTATACAGGTCGATAAAAGGGGCGAGGCTGGTGTGACTGAGACTGTTTTGGTTGGCTGCTCGGCCTGCTGGGAGCCGATAGAGCTGATGGGCAGTGCAGAGCCGTGGGTCAGGAAAGTCACTGCCGTGGAGTTCAGGCTCCGGGCGAAGGAGCCAGCGGCCACGGAGGTAGCCCGGAAGGACCAAAAGCTCAAGCTGCTGAATTGACTCCTGGATTTTTTTAAGTCGATCCGAAGCCTTCGTTACTTCTGGCGACTACGTGTTGCAGCCCAACAAAAGAAGTGCTGAAACTGCGGGCAGAGCCTCGAGATACATCCAAAACAAGGAGGCGGGTCTCGCTGCTCTTCCGAGGCGCCGTCCTTTTGCAGATTCCAGTGGCACCAGCCGTCGAGCAACGTCGCAACCAGAACAGCAAGCACACCTGCTGTTCTCAATATGCACACAATTCGAAGCCCTCAACACATAATACACTCGCAAGATCTCGCAACATGTTCTTTGGCCCCAAGGCGCCTGCGAAGGACAGAAGCACGTGCTCTGCTGAGCCCCAACCCTCCACGAAGAGAAGAAACGGTACGCCCAGGGCCATCTCCACACCCAGCAAGATGATGGTCGGCAGAGCCATGCCAGCCAGATCGATGGAAGCGACAGCTAGTAGTGAGCCTCGCAATGCACAATGCTGCACCTTTGAGCTTTGCAGTTTCACCCATGCTTCACCTTTGCACCAACCGCACGCTGCCCGGCCTACGGCGAAAAGGACGCCAGCCAGAGCACTGATCACGAAGACTACAATGCCAGAAGCATCTCCGGCTGCAGCCTGCAGAGAAGGTGCCGCGTCCTGTTGCCAAGGCCACTGAATGAGAGACAGTTGGCAATCTTCCGATCAAACATTTGGTTATGGTTTTCGCTTCCAAGTTTCCTCCTCCTGTCTGGGCCCACCCCAACTTTACTCCCGGTTTACGTGATGACTTCCGAGCTCTACGTGGTAAGCCTTGGTAATGTGCGTGAGTTTAACGATGCCCCCCATACCGTCAACCTCCCACATCCAAAGTTGTTGCATGCCGCCAGGGCCAACAACATCATCATCATCGTCGTCACCATCATAATAATAATCATCGTCCTCCTCCTCCTCCTCCTCATCATCATCATCATCCGTATCATCATCATCATCATCACCATCATCATCATCATCAGCATCAACATCCATCATCAGCAGCATCATCATCAGCAGCAGCATCATCCATCATCATGACCGTCATCATCGTCGTCATCATCATCGTCAGCATCATCATCATCATCACCATCACCATCACCATCATCATCATCGTCATCGTCATCGTCATCATCATCATCATCATCAGTATCATCATCATCATCAGCAGCAGCAGCAGCATCAACATCCATCCATCATCATCATCATCGTCATCATCATCATTATCATCATCAGCATCAACAGTATCATCATCATGAGCATCATCCATCATCCACCATCATAATCATCATCATCAACAACAACGTCAACATCATCATCATCATCGTCATCATCATCATCATCCATCATCATCATCATCAGCAGCAGAAGCAGCAGCAGCACCATCATCATCATCATGGTCGTCATCATGAACATCAACATCAGCATCAGTCCCCGTCCCCCTCCCCCATTCCTGCTTCCCCTCTTTCTCCCTCGTCCGGAATCCTCAAAAACAATCCGAAATGAAAAACATCTTATACAAATAATATATAGTATACCTGCAGGGAGCGCCCACGACTCCAATCAATCCGGGAGAAGCCCCACAAAGGAGCCGTCTAGCTCCTACTTCCTGTGCCGAAGAAACAGGCCGTTTCTCAGACTAGAGATGCCAACAGTCTTGACGGCCCTCTGCAGATCGAGGTCCTGCAGCAGTAAACAACCTGCCAGGAGATGGCCGAGCACATAGTCGAAGAAGTACAACCTCGCAACTTGGGACCAGGAGTGGCCGAAATCTCCGGCCACTCTCGCACCCCCTTTCATGCTGCCCCCTGCATCCATGCCGGTGCCTACATCTAACACACCTCGGCAAGCTCGGTACAAGGCTGTCTGCAAGAAGCTTCCGTGCGCCGAGCAGCTCGAAACGGGTGCGGGATAACAAGAGCGTGTTGGCCCAGGAACCCCAGAGGAACATGGCCGACAAGGCCAGCAGCAAAGCCACAGGCTTCTCCATGGCATGTTCAAGGCATGATCTGCTGTCGGCAGGAAAGTTCAATATCAATAGCACAGCATCCAACATTCTGAAACTGTTCTGGGCTTGGCCCTGTCCGTGCTGCGCTTCGTCACGTCTCAGGGCTGCGGCCAGGTGATCGCGAGGTTTTACCTAGCAAATGGAACCAGGCTAAGGCCTGCATGACGGATTCTGGCACTTCCCAAACCGACGACAGTGTAGACGAACTGAAACAAGACTCGGACGGCATCCCTACTCCGTTTTGCAAAATATGATCTTTGTGTCTTACCGCAGGTTACAAACGACCGTATTATTCCAGCATCCAGTGCTTTGCAAGGCCATCAAGGGCCCCAATGTGCCTGTTGAGAGTCATGCTCTGTTTTGCAGCCGATGACCATTCTGAGGCATGGCCGAAGCTAGGCAGCTAGGTGCTCGCAGCTCGCGATATGCCACTGTTGGCAGCTCCGACCCGCCTGCAATCGCCTGCATGCAGCCACGTTTGTTTGCCGGCTCGTCTGAAAACCGCCGATGCGTGCGAGTGAAACCACAGTGCGTGTCGGGTCTTCGTCTGTGCCCGACATCTGCTACAGTCCCACGCCTGGCATTTACCAAGCTGCCCTTCAAGCACAAACCAGGAGACCCACTGCTGTGAAGCATGCTGGCTGGCCTCACATGAGACCCAGGTGAAACGCCGCAGCTCGCTGAAGTTCCAGGTAAAGCTTCTGCAGATCATCGATTCCTTCCGAGCTTTCAACTTCCTGCTGACTCATCGATTCAAGCTTGCTGCTCACGTTGGAATACACAGGTAGGTTTGTACATCATTCCGGGACGCCCTGCTCAGCTTGTTGATGAGCGACTGGGCCGTCGACCAAGAGCAGACAGATGGTGGCGCTTTCTTGATTGCTGAATCTGCCGAGTGGGTCTGTCAGCTCATGGCACATGGCAGCAGTGCAAAGATTCAAGGAGGAAAGCGGGCGAAGGACGCCTTCCTCCTTTCATCCTAGAGTGGGTTGGGGGGGTTTGGTTTTGGAAGTTCCGCTCATCCCGTGTTGGCAGAATGCCTCACGGAGTGCCTAACGCCCCGCCGTTCGCTTCGGAGCCTGCAGGTCGCGGGCGGCTTCACTGAGTTGGCAAAGGATCCCAATCGCACTTCAAGATCCATGTTTCTGCTCCGTGCGCTTCACATTGGCCTCCAAAGCATCGAGTGACTCGTCCGTCCAGTAGCTCATGCTACTCCTGACAGAGCGAGAGAGAGCGCGAGAAAGGAGTGCATGCGTGCATGCATACGTACAGACATACGTACTCACGAACCAGCTGTTTCTTGATCTATCACGTCGTATTGCCGGACTAGGTAGGGCGACAAGGAGAGCGACTAAGGGACAAAGACTCTGACATACTCTGACGCTGGAGGCTGGAAAACTGCTCTATGTTGACCTTCAACATTCAATTCTGCAGTGCCCATGCATGTCAATCGATGTTCCTCTTTCCGACCCATCAAAACATCATGACACATCGTATGACTGCAGGAGAGTTGTTCGCACCTGGATCTGCACGCTGCACCTTAGTCGATTAAACTACTTGTCCCATCAACCGATCAACCCTGAAAGCCACCTTTGAACGCGGCGAACACACCTGCCATTTCTGGAGAAGCCCTCACACAGCCTTCCAGCCGACTCCCCGACCCTGATGCGCACCCTGAATCCCGAACCATCTGCAAGCCTTCTAAACAAAATGAGACATGATGCCCATCGCTCCCCAAATCCCAAAATCCCCCCTAAACCCTGTATAAACCCAAACCCGAAAACCCAAAAATCCCCCTATAGATAAGCCCGAAAACCCCAAAAAATCCCATTGAGCCCGCCTTCGAGGTTTGGATTTCAGCCGCTTGCTCGAGACCGAGGGCCTGGACCTGCTTTCCAAAGCTTCGCTTTGCAGCGAAGCGAACGCAAAGAAGGGTTTTTTTAAGGGTTTTGGGGGGTTTTAGGGGGCTTTAGAAGTTTAGGGTACAGTGTTTCTGTTTCCTTCGATATGATATGACCATGCTGGGAGGAAGCCCGCTACGCCGTGGTTGACAGGCAGTCCGTAGGGCCGCAGGCTGCGACTTACTAAACCCGGGCTTTCTGCAATGGCAGAGGCCTTCCAGACGAAGGCCGCGAGGAGGCCCCAGCCACGCTCTCAGAAGCCGCAGAATCCAGGAGGCGATCCCGGGCCTAGCAGAGCTTCGCACACACGAACATTGACGTAGCCTCGGTGGCATTGCAGGGTCATCAGGACCCTTTTAGGCTGGGGGTACCTCGAAATTGGCCAGTCCATTTTCGGAGGTCCCCAAACATAGCTTACATCAGGATCGCGTGGCATCAACGTTGAAGGATGCCCCCCCCCTTAGTTATGGAGCTTTTGAAGGAGCTGACATCTTTTGAGTTGGGGGAGGGACTGCCTCGGGAACAGCTATCCAGACGGTTTCGCGGCCGAGTAAGTGGACACGGGCAGGGCTCCAGGTCTTGTCTGTGCTGGGTTTCACCAACAGCGGGAGACCTTCCACCTTCGATACGCCCCTTTGATGTGCGCTTCACACCCGTCAGCGTACGGGAGACCTTCCATCATCGATTTGACACGTTGTAGTCCTGTTTCTAGGCTCCGGCGATGTATTTCCTTGCACAACAGGCACATAAGCTGGAAAATAATGGCACTCTCCAGGTTTGAAGCCTGCTCCTGTCCTTGCGGGGCCAAGGAAAATGGACACGGGCAGGGTTCCAGGCCGGGATTCTACTGGGCTTCGGCAGCCTACAGAAACCCTCCACCCTGCCGGTGTTGTCCTGCTTTACTGTACTTCCCCAGCAGAGCATCCAAATACCCAGAAAACCGACTCACACCCTCCCAGTCTCCAGGCTTTCCTGTACGGAAAAAAAGGACACGGGCAGGCTTCGAGGTCGGGATTGTAGTGGGTTGCACCAGCGTCTGGGAAACCTTCCGCCCTGGATCTGTCCCCTTGTCGCTCTGTTTCGAGGCGAAATCCATAGTAATTATTTCGATGCTGAGGAAGCAGACTTGCACTCTCCAGGTTCAAACCTCCCGCTGTCCATCGGGGCAAGGAAAATGGACACGGGCAGGAATCAAGGTCGGGACTCTACTGGGTTTAAAAGGCCGACAAGAGACCTTCCACTCCGGATCTGTCCCTTTCTGGTCCTGTTTCTGGTGTAATGTATGTATTTCCCAGTAGAGCACTCAAATATCCCAGGAAACAGAAACGCAGATACTTCAGAACATGATGCTAAATACACGAAGGCCTCCGAACCTATCCTCCGTCCTAACTCTGTTTTGTATGTTTTGTTGAGTTTTGTTGAAATTGCGACACTCGCGGCAACCACGATGCATCAGGCTGCAATTGTACCGGTTACGGGACGAAAACAATAAATGGACAGAAATACCTTCGAGGTCCAATTGTCCATTATCCGACGCCCCAACATGTCTACATGATCCAACACCAATTATTGGACAGGAATATTGGCCACAGGGACCTAGGTCCCCCCCTGTGGCCATTTAATAACAGGTGGTGATGCAGGGTCTGCCGGACCTCCCGAACCGCGTGGAACAGCGTCACCCTCTGCTTCGTGCCCGGAGGGCCCAGGTCCTCCGTGACCTCCAGAGCAGCGCGCACCTGCGGACCGGCTGCGCAATCCGCGATGGCAAAGAGAAGCGCTCAAAAGGCCCGTTTTGGGGGTTCCTTATTCTAATTATAGTATGTAGAATAATTACAATTGTTATACTGTTATGATTATGGTAATTGTAAACTTAGTAATTATAGTATAACCATAAAAAGTATACAGCTCAGCTTGGTGCAGGGCAGCGGTTCGGGCCGGGCCTTGGGCAGCTCAGTCCCCAGGCGCTGCAGAAGGCTTTGAGGCAAGGCGACCAGGGAAGCGGCCTCGGCTCTAAGCCAAGGGCAATATATATGACGATAATGATATATATATATATAGATAGATAGATAGATAGATAGAGCTATACTATGATCATAATCAGTATAATGGTCATTATTATAGTTTGTAATGGTAGTTGTTATAGCTGCAACTGCTTTTTGTCCTGTCCTGTAGTCTAATTACGGCCCGCCTTATCATTGTCTTGTTGCTTCAGAGAGGAGCCTGGGCCAAGCGAGCCGGCGGCAGCAGCTGCAGCAATCGTGCCTGCACTCTCACAGATCATACAGGTGCACACACGGCAGCGCCTGGGGCCACTTACTTTAGGGTGTAGGGGTTAGGCTTTAAAGGGGTTAGGGTTTGCATGTCACCTGGACCTGCAAAGCTATACAGAACCGTGGTTCTCCGTCTGCTATCGTGTGCGAAAGCACCTCTCATGCTCATGCTCTGCAACCCCTCCGCTGCTCAGGTCGGATTTGCAAACCCTTGGATGACTCCCGAAACTTCGTTCTTGCCCGACATTGGCATGCTTACGTGTTGCTGAGTGACATCGCATGCATTAAACTGAGGGGTCCCTCCTCTGCGATGCCAGACTCCAGCTTGCGACCCGCAGCTCCTCGAGTCAGGAGGATAGCGCTCCAGAGCACTTCCTCCAGCAAAGCCGGCAACTCTTCCGCGTCAGCTTCCGTCTCGGCCTGGGGCGGCGTTTCTGGAGCATGGGGCACCTCCAAGGGGGACGGGAGCGGTGCGGAGACCGTGGGCTCTCCAGGTTTGCTTATCTCCTCGGTTGGCATGGAGTCCTCGTCCGGGGAGTCCCCCCTGGCATCAAGCATCTCCCAGTAGAGCCGGTCGATGTCGGCCAGCAGATCCTCGCCTTCACGTGGGGGAAGCTGAGTCTCGGAAGCTCCAGATGGCTCGTCCGTGCCCTCCAAGGTCCCGAGATCTCGTTCTGCTTGTGCCTCAGGGCTGTTGCCGTCAGGCAACGCACTGGTGTCGCTGGTAGCGGCCATGAACTGAGTGTAGAGGGCATCGATGCTGTGCAACATTTGCTCGCACGCTGCGCTCTCCTCGCCGTGGCCCTCGGAGACACCCTCCTCACCCAAGAAGCTGAGAAGCTTCGCCGCCTCGTCCGGGCTCAACTCCTCCTCCTCCGGGCTGTCTGCGCGGCTCGGTCCGCTCGGTCCACTCGCTCCGTTTGCGCCTTGTCCGGACATGCGCCGCTTTTTCTCTCCCTTGGCGTCCTTGCCCTTCGCGTGCTCCGGCCGCGGCGGTCCGTCCACCAGGTGCTTTGGGACGACGGGGACGGCGTAGGGAGCCGGAGCTCCACGCCGCAGGGAGGCGCCCTGGGAGCGCGTGCGGCCCGGCGAGCGGTGGCCTCGGGATCGTGCTCGCAAGGACTCCCTCTTGGCCTCCTTCGCTTCCTCGTCGATGCGCTCCAGCCGGGAAGGGCACTGTGCCAGCAAGGACGGGATGATCTTTACGGGCGGCTCCTCCAGGTCTTCCTCGAGCGGATCCGAAACCGAAGGGGCCTCTGGCTGCGCTGGCTCCTGGCTTTGAGGCTCCAGGTCTCCCTCTTCGCCAGCGTGAACCGCATGGTCCGCTGACGGCGGCTCTTCCTTGGGCTTGCGAGGCTGCGCCAGCCTCTTGCACGCCTCTCTCTGTGAGCGAGGAGATCTCGGCCTGGCGGGCTTGGCAGTGGGCTCGGGCAGAGGCTCCTTCACCTGCCGGGGCTTCGCCAACTCTTCGAGCCGCTCCCGCTGTTCCTTGCAGGACCGCTTCTGGTCGATCCCAAACTTCGCGGGACCCAGGAGCCGCTCCAGCCAAGCGCCGGTGCTCTCCACAGACTCGATGGACTCCTCCAAGACCACCTCGGGCTCTCCTGGCATCTCCTCCTTCGCCGTCTCTGTGTCCGCTTCCGGCGTCTCTTCCTGCTCCAGGCCTTCTGCCGAGACCTCCTGCTCGGCGGGCGCTGGCGGACTCTCCGGTGGAGGGCTCTTTGGCGGAGCGCTTTCGAAAGGCGCCTCCAGCGCCTGAAGCGGCTGGAGAGGGGCGGAGTCGCGGCGTCGGAGCTCCGCAGAGGAAGGCCGGGAGCGTGGCAGGCGCAAGCGGGAGTGCACGTCCTTCGGCTCGCTGGAGATGGCCAAAGCTCCGGCCTGTGCCAGCCTCGTGCGGCTCTGTGCCTTCTTTGCTCGGCTTTCGGAGGGACTGGAGAAGCTCGGCCAAGTGATCCCGTTCTTCAGGAGCCGCCTAGAGGGCGAGAACGCGCAGAATGGCACGCCACACGGCACCCCACGTTGCCCCCCCTTCGCTCCCGGCCTGCCCGCTTCCACGATCACCTCGTCCAGCTCTGGAGCCAACTGCGTCTCCTCCGCCCGAGGCTTCACCAAGCGGTCGAGGTACGCGCGCTGCTCCGCCGCAGTCCGCCGCGGCTTCGCAGCCTCGGGAAAGACTTGTAAGACACCCGTGACAGCCGGACACCAAGTCTACAAGATCTGAGTTAGGGTCATCCGCCTTCACTTCTGCCGGAGGCCTCACGTGGCAGATGCTTCACGAAGTGGCTTCCATCTTCCAAGGCACTGCAGGAGCAACGCCTCTTGGGTGCTTGCTTCTAGCCTTTCTGTTTGACACTGACTTATTATCGCGTCGATCATTGTCGATAAGCATACCTTCCAACAGAGTGATGTCCGGCTGATGTCCGGAACCCGGACATGCTCCATAGCACTCAGGAACACAACTCCGGAACTGTCAACTGGCTGTTTCTGTTTCTGGGTGCCTTCACGACAGGACGAGTCAACAACAGCTGGATCACACCAAACAAACACCTCGCCTTTTCACATCAAGCCGGAGTTCGTGGCAGGGCATTCCGCAACTCTCGCGAATGTTGAATGGAGGTTTCGGACAAATCCAAAACACTCTCGGTGTCTGCAGCAGCTTTCATAGTCCGGGAGAGTATAGGCAAATATAAGCAAATCGCCGTCATTTGGATCCGATGTAGCAAACAAATATGTCTTGCAGAGCACGGGTCCTCGGTCTGCGAGGGATGTTGATGCCACAAACAGTGGACACGACAACCTTCTGGATGATCCGATGGTTTCCGGTAATGCCACAGCTGCTCACCCCCCCCCTTTCTCCGTCATCCAAAAAACCCGAAAGGACCCAAACCCAAGGTCTCCAATTCAGGGTGCATGACATGGGGGGGGG